AAAGTATCATGGCAGAACTATGCAAATCCACCCCTTACCTAAATCAAACTAATGGGCAGACTTCTCATCCACTGCCAGCTAATTTACTTCATGCTACTGGATATTGATTCTATGTGGAGTGGTAGAAAATCTGTCATGCTTAAGATGCCATCTGCTCCAACTGCCAATGGAAGTCACTTTTCCCAAATCTGTTGGCAAATTGCTTCTCCCTTATTTCCTACAGGTTTTCAAAAGCTTCGTTAGGTTTCCATTCGAATTGGACAAGAAAGCCAGTCTATTTGTTTCCATTACTTCTAACAAATGACTAATTTTATACTCCTCGTCAGGAGTTCTTCCTCCAGCACAAACACAAAAATCTATGAAGGAAAAGTGCTGATGGCAGAATGACATGGAATTTTGTGGTGAGGCTATCTAAATTTATAGACAACTCAACAAGAGTTACAGATACCCAACTCCAGGAATGTGTGGAGGGATTATGCAGCAGAGAACAAATAGTTGGGGGGGGGATGGCCAGAAAACTTGGAAGAATAGCATGTTTTGGGGAAAAGTATCTCAAGAAAGGATCTATCAAGAAAAAATATGGAATTTCTACTTAATGCAGTGCTAGAATGATGCCAAAATTCTGTGACTAGTACTATATACATGATCCTGGCATGAACTGGTGATATATCTTCCTTATAGAGCCTATAGTACTAAATGAGTATGAGATCAAATGAACTCTATTTTTCATCTTTTTGCTGGTGTGTGTGTGTGTGTGTGTGTGTGTGTGTGTGTGTGTGTGTGTGTGTGTGTGTGTAGTGTCTCCAGAGTCCAGAAGATGACAACAGACACAGTGGAGGCACAATTAAGGATAGTTGTGAACCCCCACGAGTGCTGGGAGCAGAACCCACCTAGGTTCTCTGCAAGAAAATAAGCCTCTTAACCACCAAGCCATCTCTCCAACCCCTAGGATGAACTCAAAACAATGAAGCCTAATGAATGTTTTAGTGGTTAGAGATTTATAAAAGAGTAAAACCTCCATTTATTTCTTCTCAAAGGCACATTTCTTTGAAGCAATCTCACTTCGTCTAAAAAAATCATCATTCTATTCAAGACACTCATTTTGTTCTGATTCTGAATGACTCATAACAATGTTCACTGATTGGTCAGAGAAGAGCAAGAAAACAATCTCAGCCAGGCTTGTTAAACCATCCCATTTTTTTCTAGTGTTGTTAATCCAAGATTGACAATGTAATTACCTAATAGCACTTAGCTTAACTGTGTTGGCGAGTCTTTTACATAGATATATTTATAAATGAAAATAATACAGTCTATGTTAAGAATTTTGGCTTATCTGGAGCCACAATATAAACAGGAAGAACGAAATTGAGAAATAAATAATACTTCCAAAGGTAATGTATAAGGAAAGCTTTAATGATATGTTTAAGCAGCTAATTGTTAACATCATCCAAAGTGGTCATCAAGTTAATGCTAATGGTAATTGCCAGATTTGAATGACCTTAAATTATTAAAATTACACATCTCTGAAAGATAGTTAGAATAATTAGACATCTACTAATGGATTGACAAAGTGGAGATTATTGAACACAATGCAGTGTCCTGCCATGCATGCTGTTCTTTTGTTATAAACCCATGCTTAGCTGTGTACATTACAAAATAGCCTCCCTGGACACATGCTTATCATCTCAAATCAGTGTTCTAGAACACCCCTGCATTTCAAATGCATCAGAGAAGTCCATGGTGAAGATTGCTCTCAAACAACCACCCTTTTTTACAGCTAATTTATTTGTATTTCAGCAATATTCCTGTCTATTGATAAAATGATAAACACTATGTATAGAAAGCAAAAAAAAGAAAACTATTTTTCTTCCACACACAAATCAAACATGGATGAGTACATAAAATCCTTTCCATAAGTATTAACCCATGTATAATACTTATCTACAAAACTGAAAAAGATATAATTTAATTTTCTTGATAGATCTCAAAAGGCTTTTTTTTCTCATATTGAATATTTGCAAGATACTGTACATATCCATGTCTTCATCATGAGTGATTTTCCTGAAGGTTATGAGTATTAAAAATAAATACATGTCATGAAACAATAGGAACATTAGAGGGATGGCTCCATGCTGTCAAGATAATTCATCACTGATCATGTGAATACAGTGCTGAAACCTTGGCTAAGTGGGGTGGTTCACCTGCTCAAGAAGTCCTGGAAAGTCAGCAGATCCATAGAGCTTAGGTGTGTACAGCTGAATAGGAAGGGCCAGGGAACAAGTTGAAGAAGAAAAAAGAAACATCAACTAAGGATGCTAAGCAAAAAGACTGATTACATCAAGGCTTTACCTTTTTCCCCCATTGTGAAGACTTTGGTTGTTACTCAGTGGAATGAGAAGGCACAAGAGGGCTATGGGCCACAAGGCAATACAATCATATTTCTATTTTAAATAGATCAGTGTTTCTTCCCTGTGGCTGTTAAAAGTAGAGAAGGCAAAAAGAAAAAGCAAATTAACCAATATAAAATATGAAAAACTTGATAGCAATCATCTATCAAGATGAAGGCCTGTGGGGAACATGAGACCGTTGAGATGCTGGAATTGTGAAAAGCCGGTTCAGGATGTATTCTAAATATAGTCTGTATATTTTCTCCACAGATGGGGACAGAGTGTGAATAAAGAGGAGAAGTCATAGATAATGTCAGAATGTTTGACCTGGAAGTTGATGCTCACAAGGGTGACCATGAGCCTCTGTCACAGCTAATTGTCTCTGATGCTGTATTAAAAATAATAAAGCAATACATGTGGCTGTTTTCCAACAAAATTTTAATTACATAAGCAGAGTACCCTACCCTTTAACCCATCAAACCTATGGACATAGAACTATTTACAATACTCACTGCCCACAGAATCTGAGTTTTAATACTATTTGTCCACAATCATGCAAGATTCTTAGTGTCCTCCTTAGTTTTCTTACTATTAACTTCTTTCTTATGTGTGTGTGTGTGTGTGTGTGTGTGTGTGTGTGTGTGTGAGAGAGAGAGAGAGAGAGAGAGAGAGAGAGAGAGAGAGAGAGATTCAAAATGTTCTGATTGGAAACAACCAGAACGATGATTGATCCTTTATTGTTAACCTTATTTTGCATCCTTTGGCTAAAACTTCACTTAGTTCTGGTACATCATCATTTCATTGGGTCCAGATCCAATCAAGTTGACAGCCATTATTAGCCTTCACAGTAGTTTGCAGCCATGTCCTTGTCGTATAGGCTGTCTCTTTATACTGGTGAATGCTTCTTTCACACTGCAGAAGATATTTAAATTTCATTTATCACTTCTTAAAATTATTACCCACTCTATTAGAGCCTTTTCCAGAAAACCTTAGCCTATATCTCAAAGGGTTTTGTGTATGTTTTCTTCTAGTAAATTTCAACATGTAGTCAATATTAAGGTATCTGATACATTTTTAGTTGAATTTTTGCAGAGTGGGGATGAGAGATGAGGACAGTTTCATTCCTCTACATTTAGCAATCCGGGATCCCCACATTAATTGTTCAAGAGGCTTTGTCAAAGGCCTTTTTGGTATTGATTGAGTTAAATATCTGATCTCTCTCTTTATGTCTCTTTATGTGCTGAATTACACTTACTGACTTGGCTAGTTAAAACAACCTGAAATCCCTAGAAAGAAACCAGGTTGGACATGGTATATTTCTCACCCCAGGAAGAAGAGTTGTCATATTGACAACAAATGATAGCAAATGCTCATAAAGAAGAATATGGGAGCAAAGAATACTTGTGCCCTCTTAGCAGGGATGTAAACTTATGCAGTCACTATTGTAATGAATCCTTCTCTGTCCAACCAACCAGTTCCCAAATGATGACATGGAGACATCTTAATTATAAAAGCTCAGTTTATAGCTTAAGCATGTTCCTAACTAACTCTTACTTATAACTTAAATTAACCCATTTATAATAATCTATGTTCTATCACATGCCATTTCCTCTCTTCCATCTTGCATCTCCTGTTTCCTCTCCATGTCTCCTGGCTTCCCCTGTGTGCCTAGATTTCTCCTCCTCTTTCTTTCTCTACTTGGAAGTCCAGCCTATACCTCCTGCCTACCTATTGGCCAATCACAGCAGATACATCTTCACACAGGATACAAATATTCCACAACACACTATCACATGGAGTTTCTTTTTTTAAAAAATATATGGCCCAGCTCTACTACTGTTAGAAATATACCCAAAGGATTCTAAGTAACCATACCACAGAGATTCTTACGTTTTCATGTTTATTGCTTCCCTACTCACAATAGCCATGAAACAGAACTAGCCTAGACATCCATCAACAGGTAAGTGAATGAAGAAAAATGTGGTGCTCATAATGGAATTTGATGCAGGTATAAGGAAAAATAAAATTATATCATTTGAATGAAAATATGTACAACTGAAAAACCATTGTATTAAGTTAAATAAGGCAGATTCAGAAAGACAAATACTGGGTATTTTCTCTTATGTATGGAACTTAGATTGAAAATTGCTCATGTGTATATGTATACATGTACATATATCATGGGGGAATCATGAGAAGGGAAAAGGAATTCTTTAAGGAGGTGGAAATAGAGACTATAACATCAAACATATGAAAAGGAACACTAACTAGGAGAAGGGTTGGAACCGGAGGGCACTGGAGTCGGTACTTAGAGAGGGAAACAAATGAGAAAAGTATAACAGCACATACATATGAAGTAACATTAGGAAACATATAACTTCATATTAACTTAAAAGACTGACTAAACTAATTTCAAAAATTTCCTAAGTCATGAAACAGTGAAAGACAAATTAAACCGTAGCTGGAAATTCATGTCTACACTACCTCCCATTCGAGAAATAGACAACTGTCAATCATGGAAATACTTTCTAAAATGGCTTACCTTATGAAGAAACAGATTGTTAGTACAACACATTTTATATACAATCATTGTCAAAGTATACATACTGGGAATCTGGAGAGTCGTTTTCTTAAATTCCCACGGAACGCCTTGGGGAAGTCGTCTGTGAAAGCTAACGCAAGTGTGGTGGCATTGAAGGAAGGAGCCGGCCATGCTTTCTCACTTATGTTGAGTTAGGGTGGCGTCAAAGATTGTGGAGGAGAACTTGAGTGGAGTTTAAAGGTTGAGAGTGGAGTTCTCATCATCTACATTAGTAATAAGTCAAAAATGAACATAAAGGAAACATTTTCAGGAGAATGACTGAAAACCAGTAACTCAAGTCGCTAGAAATGAGAGGGGGTGACGAAGGACCTTGTGAACAAGAACAGGAGTGGGCGGTGTCCATGGAAACTAAAGGGAATTTTGATTTGTTGTAGATAAATTGTTTCCAGTTTGTGTAACTTAAAATGTTAAAGTGAATATAGTATTATTTACATAGTCTCATTATTACATAGTATACATAACATAATATTATTATATCGTATTATACATTATTATTTTTCTTCATTTTTATGACTTCTTGGGGGAAATATCACAGAATTGAACCACTTCATCACAATAAAGACATATTTTTAATTCTAGTACTTGGAAGGCTGAAACAGGAGGGTCATTTGAGTTTAAAAATTTGTGACCAGCCTGAGGAATGTAGCAACATATAAGACCCTTTCTGGGGGAAAAGAAAAAAAAACTTTTTAAGAAAAGGATGTGGGGCAATCTAAACAAGCATTTCCATGAAGAATATAAAAAACTGGTTAGAGTGGCAAGAAATTTGCTTAACATTATTAGTCAGCAGAGAAATGTGAGCATATACCCAGTGAGATGCCACTACTTACCCAGCTAGGATGGTTGTAATTAAAAAAAAGAGAGAGATAATAACAAATGTTGGCAATGAAATGGAGCATTAGCTGCTTATATACTGCTTATGAGAATGTAAAATGATACAGCCACTTAAAAAACATCTATGCAACTCCTAAATGCCAAAGGGCAGGTGTCATTTAACCCGGCAAAAAAAAAATGAATACATATCTGAATGTAATTATAACATTATACACAACAGCCAAAGGATGGAAATAATGCAAACATTTACCAAAGGATAAGGAGGCAACGAGTGTGATCTACCCATACATAAAATATTACTTTCTCACCATGGCAACGAGGTACTAATGACTTACAGTATCTTGAAAACAATATATGAACCAAAAGTGAATAGTTTTTTTAAGACCTCACATGATAGGATACAATTTATAGAAAATTACTAGAATAAGAAAACCTACTTTTTAAAAAAAAAAAAAAGTGTATTCGTGACGGCCTGAGGCTGGAGTTGGGTGAATTAGAAGTGTGTAGCTGAGAATGAGAATGTAGCAGTGGCGTGAGAGTGTAAGAATTATCTTCCTGGTGTTGAGATGTCCTGTAATTGATTGAAGTAATTGTCTTCAGAATTTTATGACTATCCAAAAACTATTGAATGTTACATGTGAAGTGGACAAATTATATATAGTATGTGAGCTGCATCTCAATGAAGCTGTGAGGAAGAAACAAAGGACAGTCACAGGGCTAAATTTGCTGTGATATCTCAAAGATATACCAGTCCCGTCATGGGACTTTGTAAGGCTATAGCCTCACGGTATAGTAGCTTACAGTAAACTAAGGACTGTTCCCATAACCACATAACAATCAGGCTTTATCCAGAGGCCCTGCCCTTGGTTAACAGGTTAACTAGATTACAATATTGGCTAGTTAGAGAATAATGTAGCTATTTACAAAACTTCCATGATTCCAATATCCGTGCATTTGCTGGGCAAATCTCACAGTCTTGCCTAACAAATTAATAGCACTTGGTGGGAAACACCAAAGCAAACTTATATAGCTGAATCTGCATGTAAAATGAATGACTTATCAAAAGAAAGAGTGGGGTTGGGTGGGAAGTCAGTTTTATCTTGTGTTTCCATAGTCTGCAAAATCTTTACTTTCTCAATTAGGAGATTTCTCTCTCATGTTAGAATGAGAAGCAGAACCTCCCTAACATTCGCTCTGAATCACTGAGCCATCCAAAAGAACAAAAGGCACCAGAGTTGTTTGCTATCATTTTATCTGCCATAGGACCAATTAGGCTATGCACAGAGAAGGTGTTTAATTAGTATTTGCTCAACTGGAAAAGAAAGAGATTGTAGAGCCAATTAAAAGCAAATCTATATACTTGTTTATAAAAAAACAACTTACTGGTGTGTGGAAAATCTGGGCCAAATGTTATGCAACCAGATTTGGAAATACTCTGTAATAATCCGTCTTCTAAAAGCCATTCATTCTTCTCAGTTCATGGATCCCCTCCTTTCAAAAGCTTCTCTCCCCTGAAGACATGTAAAAGACCTCTGTTATTTCCCCCAGAACTTGTGCATGAATTGTTTTCAGTAGGAACAGAATTTTGGTGTCCCAGTCACTTTTAGACACTGTCAGGACATCCTACCTAAACTCAATAATTACTCAAAATTCTTCTCTAATATATATTCAGGGAAAATAATAAAGAATAGACTGGAGAAAATTGGTATACAGTGATATTTGGAGAGAATAAGCTTAATTTTAAATTTTAAACTTCCTGAGGAAAACCTGTTAAAAAGAACTGAGGGGAATACATTTAAATTTTGTAGAGCAAGATATAGACAGGTCCCCTCTATCTATATCTTGATAGAGGGGACCATTATGGGGCTCAGGAGAAACCTGGTGCTAGGGAAATTCCCAGGAATCCACAAATGGGATGCCAGCTTAGACTCCAAGCAATAGTGGAGAGGGTACCTGACTGGCCTTCTCCTGTAATCAGATTGATGACTACCCCAATTGTCATCATAGAACCTTCATCCAGTAACTGATGGAAGCAGATGCAAAGATCCATAGCCAAGCACTGGGCCAAGCTCCTGGAGTCCAGTCGAGGAGAAGGCGGAGGCATTATATGAGCAAGATGGGGTCAAGATCATGATGGGGAAACCCACAGAGAAAGCTGACCTGAGCTAGAGGAAGCTCAGAGACTCTGGACTGACATCTGGGGAACCTGCATGAGACCCATCTAGGCCCTCTAAATGTGGGTAATGGTTGTGTGGCTTGGGCACTTCGTGGGGTTCCTGGCAGTAGAACCAGGATTTATCCCTAGTGTGGTTGGGGATTGGGGGTTGGTCCTGTCTCAACTAGATATGCCAGACTTTGTTGACTCCTCATGGGAGGCCTTACCCTCTCTGAAGAGTGGATGAGAGGGAGGTGGGGGGGGGGGAGCAGCAGGAGAGGAGAGAGAGAGAACTGTGGTTGGTATGTAAAATGGAAAAAAGGCTTTTAAATAAAAAAAGTCAGTTGAGGGAAAGAATATAAATTGTGTAGATTGTTTCACTCCTTTTCAAAATGCCCTAAATGTGTTAATACAACTTACCTGTCTCTTGACTGACTGTATTTCCCCAGACACCAATGCTTCTTTTGTTTTTTGTTTTGTTTTGTTCTTTGTTTCTACTGCAAACAGTCTCATGTAGCCCAAGCATGGCTCCAGACTGCTTCTGTAGCTACAGTTGACCTTGAAGTCTCCACTCTCCTTGCTAAGTGCTGGGATTCCAGGAATACACACCCATGTTTTTTTTTTTTTTTTAGTAGCATTTTTGTGTGTTTTTATTGTCTCACTTATTTGGGGATTATAATATAATTACAGCATTTCCCTCATTCCATTTTCTCCCTCCAAACCATTCCATATACCCTGTTTTGGTCTCTTTCAAGTCCATGGTTTCTTTTATCATTAACTGTTGTTATATGCATATATCCCAAATCTATCTTAGTCTGTATAGTGTTACTTATATGTATGGTTTTAGGGCTAAGCATTTGGTATTAGATAACCAATTGCTGTGGTGATATTTTATTTGTGCACCCCAATAAAGCTTATCTGGAGATCAGAGGGAAAAGCCAGCCACTATGTTAAACATAGAGGTCAGGCAGTGGTAGCACATGCCCTTAATCCTAGCATTTGGGAGACAGAGATTCATCTGGATCTCTGTGAGTTCAAGGCCACACTGGTAACAGAGTCTGGCATGGTGGCACATGCCTTTAGTCCCAGCAGTAGTTAACCATAGAGGTCTGGAGGTCTGTACAGACAGACAGGAAGTGATAGAGCTGGGCCAAAAGAGGAAAATGATGTAGCTAGGCAGAGACAGAAGTGAGATGGCAGGGCACAGAAAGCTATATGGGCATGAGTGTACAGGAAGCAGCCTCTCTTTGGCTGAGGATTTCCTAGTGGTCAGAACATGGCTGGCTTCTCTCTGCTTCTCGGATCTCTCAGTTTTTACCCCAGTATCTGGCTCCGGGTTTTTAATTAATAGGACCATTTAGCAACTCGTGTTACAAATTGGTGTACCTGGGAAGACTACGCCTCTCCCATTCCCAGCAATTCTTTAGCTGCCTTTACTTCTTTGTGTATGGCTGAGGCCTTGTCGTCTTTCCCAGCTTACTATCAATTTTTAACAGTGCCCTTTACCGGAATGCCTCCCATTACGGTCTCACTTTCCATCGTATTGAGGCTGCCGACACTGTTCTCATCCTCTGTGTTGTCATTGTCGCTGTCCTCATCACGACACAGTCAGGGACGCTGCTTTTGTTTCATTAACTCTACACACCAAAACCCATGTACATATTAGGGGTTTAAAAAAAAAAAGCACATGATACCTTGGAGGAGTTAAATTGGAAGACGAAAATTGCTGAATACGTGTGTGCGTGTATGTGTAGAGCAACAGGGGATGGCCCAGTGAGCAAGAGCGTTTGCTGCGCAAGCGTGAGGATTTGAGCTGGAATCCCAGGACCCACATAAATCCGGTCATGATCATGCACGCCTGTAACCCCAGCATTAGGGGCCAGAGACAAAGTGGGTTCCAGGAGTTCCTGGCCAGCCAGCCAGCCTGGCAGAAATGGCAGGCTGCAGGTTCAGTGAAATACGCTGTCTAAAAAAAAAAAGGGTAGAAAGCAATAGAAAAAGGTACTCAGTGTCTTCCTCTGGGCTCTGCATCATGCATGCTCCCCCACATGCACTAAAAAAGAAAAAAAAGAAAAAGAAAGAAAAGAAAAAGAAATCTGTTGGGTGGTTGCTAAGAAGTCTTCTCAGGTCCACATTTTGGCATACATTTCCAGACATTTAGTGTGCCTGAGGTACATTGAATTTCTGAGTATATCAGATACTTGATTAATTAAAGGGGAGAACCAGATATGTTTGCAGTAGGCCAGTTATTATTTTAGTACCAAGCAATTAAAAATGTCATCTGGAAAATGAGTCACATGGAAATTTTAGCCTTCATCGATCCAAATTGTCTCTCCCCAAGCAATCATGCCATTAAATATTAAACACTCTTGCTTCACCCAATTAATAACTAAAGTAAATATTAATCACATTAATGGCAGACCATAGAGTTCAAGAGCTAACTGAGGCTGGTATAGGAAACTGAATAGGTATTTCTTTATTAAAATTGCTCAAGTGATGATTATTTATGCACCTACCCCAGAGGTTTTAGGGAAAATCTTTAGAATCAAATGCTTGGTCTATCATTCAGCAATTGAGAAATCTTGAGCAAGTATTCACCCTCAGTTCTAGAGAATCTTGCTTATTTTATTCTAAATCCGGTGGTGAAATCACACATGGCTTACCTAAGAATAAAATGAGCAATGAATACAGAGTATTTGAACATAAGAAGTAATATATACATCACCATTCTGATTACAGAAGACAGGCAGTTCAGGCTACTTATACACTGTTGCTAGGAGTCTTAGCTGGGGTCATCCTTGTAGATTTGTGGGAGTTTTCCTTGCACCAGGTTTCAACCTGACCCCAAAATGCCCCAGTGGGGCCTGTCCCTGATGCCCTGGCAGGCTTTTGTAAACCTATTCCTCATACTGGGTTGCCTTACCATAACCAAATAATATGAGGGAAGGAGCTTAGTCCTACCTCAACTTGATATGCCATGCTTTGTTGACACCCATGGGAGGCCTGTCCCTTTCTGAACAGAAACAGTGGAGGAACAGATTGTGGGGGTGGGGATGGCAGGAGGGGCAGTGCAGAGGGGAGGTGGAATTATGGAATGGGAGAAGAGGGAGGGGAAACTGTGGTCAGGATATAAAATAAGTGAATAAATTTAATTTACAATAAAAGCAAAGGTCAGAAGAGAAACAAAATCCGATATAAGGAGGAAATGACGTATAAGGTAAGGTCATAAGAAAACAAAAATTGAGTGCATGCACTCAAGAAGACAGATGAAAGATCTAGGCCAGGTGCTACAAGCCTGCAGCTCCAACTGTTTGGGAGACAGAGATAGAATAATTGCAAGTTCAAGTCTCCTGGCCTACTGTGTGACTTCAAAGCCAGACTGGGCAAATGATGGGGATCCTGTATCAAAATAAGAAAGGCAAGTAAAGGGTCAGAGTTATGGCTCCGTAGTAGATAATTTACTTAATATTTAGGTAAATTATATTTAATTTACTTTATACTCTAGGTCCAATCTCCTGTAAAACACACATACACACAAAAATCTCAACACACACATATGGATATACAAGTACACACACATACACACAAAAACTCAACACAGACATACAAATACACACATACACACAACAAAATCAACACACACATACAGACATATAAGCCCACACACAGCACAAGGTTATAGGTCCAATCTCCCGTAAAACACACACACACACACACACACACACACACACACACA